AATATGAAAAATGTGAAATTGGTCTTTATTCGAAAGATACTTGTGAAAATATTATATTTCATATTAAGAAAAAATTATGAACATTATAGGAAGAAACTACCTTTAGAATGCGTTTCCGGTGGTTGAAAAATGTGCCCTGAAATTGGAATTGTAATATTTTACTCGTAGCCAGAAATAGTAACAAGAAAACGAAAATGTAATAGTGTCATATGGTTTGGATTCAAAATTTTGAGAAATAAGTAAAGCTTTGATTATTTTAATAACAATGCCAATGGTTAGGGTTATGGTAGATAGACACTTATCTAGGTATATATAGATAGGGTATGGTAGATAGATTCAGGACATTTTGACCTCCGAAGACGGGTCCATTGTATTAGTATCATACGGACTAGGCTAATAAGGACCTAGTCTGGCGTTTCTAGGACCCAGGCTGTTTCGGGCTACCATATCTGTTCTAATCACCAGAAACTTTAAATCTGAGCTGTTCCTGCCGTTCCGAACGTCTAATCATTTAGTAACCTTGTGGCCTCACAGAAAGTCAGAAGTCTCTTTAAGGGTAACTCCCTCATTTGGCTCGGTTGCATAAAGGCCGAACCCACGATTCCAGAGGACATGTGAGGTACACCATTTAAAAAGACAGCACCGTGGGCCATCCGCCAATCCAAGCAGATGAAGGTGCCGCCTGAGTCAACAGTGGCCGGTAAGCATACTGACCACCAGAAACATCTTCTACTATCTAGAAGGAGAAGTTATAAGACTTTCGATTGGCCCCACTATGAAAGATGTTTCTCTATTTTGAAATTAATCACGACGTTTCTAAGGAATAAAATGTCGGAAGACTGAGGAAAAGCTTCCTATGTTGTCCATCGAAAAAAAAAACTGGTTTCAGAAAGGACCTCGACACTTTTCTTATGTAAAAGTGGATTTAGTTAAATTGGCTAAAACTTTGCAGATAGGTAGCTTTCGCAAAGGTTGTTAGTGGGCCAAGACCCAGAAATCAACTGTTTTTGAGTTACAGAGGTTCAAAATATCAACAGTTGAAGAGTTTTAGTTAATACGTGCAAAAACTTCAGGAAGCAATTTTGCATGAAAAATAATGACAGTTTTCTAGTTTTCAGTATGTCTGCAAATGCCTTCTTTTCCGAGATGCTGGATTTGAAACTTGTTCTTCAAATGTTCTGAAAAATGTTCTTACAAACTAAAGATTTATTTATTGCCTTGAAACCGATTGAGATAAAAAAATGAAATTTAAGAGGTGTTAAGAGGCAGTTAGGAACAAAATTGTAGTGAAATTTTTTTAATTAAAAATAATTTTTAAATTTTTCGTTTCGTTTGTGAAAAAAGTCTTTCCTATATTTTTTTTTTCATATAAGGCTCCGTCTTTATGCAAAAAAAAAATAAAATATTTTTTACAATGACATTAAACTAGAACAATAACAGAAAATACCACTAATATAATTTAAACCACGTTATTTAAGGAGTCTAATTAATAATCATAAAAAAATAATTGTAAATAATCAAGGATGTTTAAAAAGTTATCACTTAAAATGTTGTTGGTAACTCAATCGTTATATATATAATCTATGTACGGTTATTTACACTTGTTTAATGAAGTGTTAGAAAATGATATCAATAAATACTATCAGAGTGCTACTGTCCCGCCTTTTCAGCTTTCAGCACCGCTAGAATTGCTCAAGCACAACTGAAAGATATTAAACAACTGTATTAAAACATTAAGTGCGTTATTTATAAGAATGATGGCCATAATGGCGAGAGATTTCTTTACACTGCTGTTACCATTGAGTGATCGGAAAAATAACGCTAATACTGAACAGTAACTTGGCATTAAATGGTATAAAGCGAAAAAGTAACCGTTAATTATAATTCACAGGAATATAAATTATGCTTACTTATCTATAGAGTGTAACAAAACAGTAGGTCATAGTACATGCACTTTGTGTGCATAGTATATCTTTATACACAAATTAAAAATGCTACAGCCTTTTAAAGTTGCAAATTGAAAATCGACATTTTTCAACATCAATACGATAGAAAGAATGCAATGAAGCTGAAAAGAAAATTCTACAAAACTACTATAAGACCAGCTATGATGTACACGGCACTGAACGAAGGACAGTTAAAAAGAAAGAAAAACGAATGTTGCGAAAATTAAAATACTTAGATAGAAGGGTGAAGTGACGAACAAAAGTTAAGTGAGCTTGGTAGTTGAAATCTAGATGTGGTTGGCACTTCTTCTTCTTCTTCAAGTTCCATCTTCTATCGAAGGTTGGAAATCATCATGACTATGCGGACCCTGTTGACTGCTGCTCTAAACAGTTCTGCACTACTGCATTCAAACCATTCCCTCAAGTTCTTAAGTCACGATATTCTTCTTCTTCCAACATTTCCTAGAATTCTGTCTTGCATAATAAGCTGCCCTCTCAGAACATGTCCTAAGTACTAAAGTTTTCTTCTTTTGATAGTTAATATTATTTTATCTTAATTTCCTATTCTTCTAGTAACCATGATCAAGCATAGGTTCCGATGGTTACGGTAAATCGCTATCGCGTTTCAAGTTCCTGGAATGAGTAGAAGAGTATGACAAATAAAGACCTGGTAGAAGACGCCTAAACGAGACATGTCTGTGACGATAAATAATATGGGCGTGATCCAAGATAGAGACTTATGGAAAAATGTAATTAAGCCAGTTCATTACACTATCATTATTTAATCGATTGAGACTCTTGGAAACGGTAAATGCAGAGTTTATTTTAATTCGGATTTACTGCGTACTGCAAGAGATATTTGAAAAAAACTGAGATGTCAGAAGGAAACAGTTTCAAAACAGTAACACACACAAGATAAACCTAAGTTTAAATCATCCAACTGATTAAGTTACTATGAGATTGAACCTGTATGTAATTCCTGTAAACGAGCAGTCTTGATTTGTCAACAACTTTGCATATTAGTATGATACTCTCGATCTTCTTAATGTCAATTATCACTAGTTGTTACTGAATTCCAGCAAAACCGATGGAGATGTTCACACAGGCCTATAGCTTGAACTCAAAAATCAAATTTTGAAAATTGTGTAACTTAAATACGAATACTAAAATACGAAATATGGTTGCCAAATCTGAATCGTCATCTTCAGTAGTTTTACCACAGAAACACACTATAAACGCAATAATGTCTGAATTTAATCATAAAAACCATATGTCGTATCACTTCTTATCTTGATAGTGGTTTTTTAGTAATTTATTTTAATTTACTTCAAAATTAAATATATATGTTTGCCTAAGGTGCATAATGCTTCTTCTTCTTATTGCGCCGTCTCCTTTCGAAGGTTAGAGATCAAAATGGCAATGGTAGCTTTGGAAACTGATGCACGAAGGATTTCTGTGGATGGGAGGACAGAAAAATGGATTATTACATCATGCCAGAAGTTGGTCGAAAAATGGATCTAGCCGAGAACATTTTCCATCAATATTTTTTTATAATTTCGGAGAGGATTACCCCCAACAGCAATTTCTCGCTGAAATGGCTTCTGTTTTTGGGAATGAAGCATCATTGCAGTATTGCGAATTTCAACGTGGTCCCTACAGTCTCAGCGACGAATCCACACAAAACAGGAGTCACAGAGCAAAAAAATGATGCGGTTTGTCAGCTAATAATTAAGGATGACCACCGTACAACATACCGGGAGATAGAGACACTTTAGGCATTCCAAAGACTTCCTAGATAAAGAACTGGGTGTGACGAAATTGGTTTTCCATTGGATCTCTCATTTGCTCACAGAACAACAAAAACCGGTTCGCGTCAATTAGTGTCGAAAACATTGAAAAGGTTCAATAAGGGAAGCACAAATAACTTTATAGTATTGTTAGTGGCGATGAATCTTTTATTTACTCCTACGAACCGAAAAATAAACCCCAATTCGCTGTGTATGTGTTTCACGATGAGGAAAACCCAAAAACATTTGGTCATGTGGCAATAATTGCTCTAGAAGATCAAAGAAAGGTTATTTCTAATTATATAACCGTCTGTTTATCAGAAGTTATCACGAAACTTCGACAAAGCAACACATACACTAGGACAACACCCAAAAGATGTTTCACGATGAGAAAAACCCAAAAACATTTGGTCATGTGGCAATAATTGCTCTAGAAGTTCAAAGAACGGATACTTCTAATTATATAACCGTCTGTTTATCAGAAGTTATCACGAAACTTCGACAAAGTAACACATACACTTGGACAACACCCAAAAGACTAGAGTTTTTGGAGCTTCAAAACATAAAGTTGTTAAACCACCCACCATATAGCCCCAACCTAAATCAGAAGCCATCGATGCCTTTAAAACAGCGACTTTGCAGGTGTCAACTGAAGACTAGATTAACTGTTTTAGAGGTAATGGATTTTGGGAACAGCTATGACCTTGAACATTTCACGTAAACTTGTGTACTAAATAGGCATAATGCATAGCTCTTGTCAAAATCCAATACATTAATAATATAATTACATCTCTTCGATTCTAAAATATTGTAAAAGACTTTAAAGAGTATGAGTAAGAAAAGAGATATTTAGTTATATTCTTTGTGGCATTTTCAAGGTCATAGCTGTTCCCAAAATCCATTACCTATACCAATGGGTATGAACGTATGCAAAAGTGTATCGATCTTGGTGGGACATATTTTGAAAAGCAATGAAGTACTTTGTCTATATATTTTTTCTTTTTATGGCTATATGCAAAACTAAAAAGACGATCCTTAATAAATAATTTAACTTTCGATCCTACACGTATTATGAATATTTATTCGATGTATTTTAACTTAATGTTTTATTTAATTTTGAATAATAATCTATTAAATTCTGTTAAAATCTGGAAATTCATATTTTAAAGTAGAAATTTATATTTTAAAAATTGTTTTCTGGATTTTTTTTAAATTAAATATTTTTTTTTCAGAGCAAAACTACAATAAAACTAGATCGACGACTTACCTTTCTTAACATGTCGTTTCCAGTTGACGAACTCGAAGTCTTTGGCTGTTCAGAAGACCCAGGTATGGACGCTCTATTAAGCAGCCCTCTTGGACTGCCTCGGTTGTCGTTTGGTATACTCTCTTCGTCTTGCTGGTTCAGCAATTCTTTTAATATCCGATGTTTATTTTTATCATCGTTATCGTTATTGTTATTTTGAGGTTTGGTAAGCAAATTTCGTAACTTATTAGGTTCAGCCATCATAGCCGATTCTTCCAAAACGTTGGCTTTGGTATCTTTCTGCTCATCCAGGGAAAATCCTTGGTCGTTCATAGAATTAAAGAAATTGCCTGTTCCTGTGCTGTAGGGATTGGCAGCCGCAGGAGTGGGGGGATTTGGAACAGTTGGGCTGGGTTGGGAGGAAAAAGGGGAAGACTGCACCACAGTAGGCGCATTGCTGTAGGAGGGATTACTGGGCGGACGAGGTGTAGGAGTTACACTTGTACGCGAATCTGGCCTGCCTTCAGGCCAATTAGTAGATTCTAGTTCCCAAGTGGATGAGGGGAATATATCAAAGTTGAATTCGTTGTCAAGATGAAAAGTTTGATAAGTGGAACTTGGATTTAGAAGTGTGTTGCTAGAATTCTCGCTACCTGAACTAATGGGTGGACCATTGCGGTTTCCGTTCACTACACTAGGCATCAAGGGTCCTCCTACTCCCGTGCTTGAGGAATTGCTGGTGCCACTGGCCGATTCTGTTCCGACAAGATCGTTTTCGCTGAAACAAAAAACAATATTAAATTTAATAAATCAACGAAGTTTACTATAAGGTTGGGAGATTATTATAATATTGACACATCCATTATTTTACAGTTATAAGAGTTGACATATACTTAAACAATAGTTAATTTGATTGAAAATGTAGCATTTAAAATTAAATTTTCAGTAAACGGTTAAAATACAGGAACGAATACACAAATCACACTGACACTAATCCAACAATGAAAGGGGTCCTCTTTCTGCTACCGGGACCTCCGGTAGCAGAATCCATACCATCGAAATGGTAGCGTTCGTCACTGTTGGGTTAAACACACACATACACACACATTCACACTTAGCAAAATCCGACAAGTCGATTCTCCAAAGCTGAGGGACTCCATTTTCGAGAACGCTCGACCACAAAATTACAGTACAATACACTGGTTTTGGGGCTGAGTATAAGCTCGAAAATGACACAGGAACAATTAGAGACCCGATTCTGTCGCATCTATCTCAAAAAACACACACACTCACTCTGGAAAGAACATCACAATCCAGACAAGCCTTTCACTCCTGATTCGAATAGTGACTCCATCTCGACAACCTCCAAGATGCTCCATCAGATGACGAACGCTAACACTCCAGTGGTTTCTAGGACTGTTTGCTTTGTTTGCTTTTCTCACTATATTCAAACCCAAGCCTGATGAGGATCGAGTGATCCTAAACGGGTACAAAAATATTCACTCCTCTCGAAATAAAGAATCCTTACCCTATCCCGCAAAATGAACATTGGATAATGATGTTGAGTTTTGAAAGAAATGTTTTTTTTTAGAAGGCGTTTGATATTATAACCCATCGAACTGAAGACAATTGGCTTATTGTACATATTTCATTCTCGTGTTCTTTTGGTTCAGGTTTTTAGTGTTACTTTACTTTAGACTACTTACGTTGCTTTATTTCCCTCTGAACCACGGTAGCTGCTTAGTTAAATTAGAAATCGAAAAATATTTTTCATTTTTATTTGTGTACAAGGACCTGTAAAGACTGTTTTTATTATTAACTCGCCGAATGTTGACCAGGCAAGTTGTATTTTTCGTTTGATTTGCTCTGATTATGTAAACTTCTATAGGGTATTCAGTGAGCATCAGAATTAACTAGTTTTCTCTAAGTGACGCCTCGCAATAGGAGGTTGGATAGTATCATAACTATCTTTACTCTATCTGCCGGTGCTCTGAAGGGTTCTACTGAACTGCATCTAGACCAGACCTTTAAATTTTTTAACCATGACACTCTCCTTCTTCCTATACTTCTTCATCCTCTTATATTTCTCCGTATTATCAATCTATTCATTTCATATCGCTGTCCCCTCATTGCGTGTTCCAGATACTGCAACTTTCTTACTTTTCTTGTGTTAATTATTTCGTATTCTTTACTCATTTATCGCAATGCTTCCGTATTCGTTCTCTTCTAGGTCCATGCTCTTCTTAGCATTCTTCTGTAACACCAGATTTCATATGACTGTAGCTTATTTATGTGTTCTTGTTTCAGTGTCCAGCTTCGATACTACAACTCCATATTGTAGTATCGAAAACACGTTCGCTTAGAGATCTTCAGTTCTAATTTAATTTCTTTATTGCACAGAATTGTTTTCATTTTCACCTTGCTATTTCTACCCTGGCCCTTATTTATGTTGTTATTGTATTTTCTGAAATCTAGCTTCGTAGGTATTTGTATTTTTCAACCCTTTCTATCGGTACATTTCCTAAATGTATGTTTGTTGGAAGAAATACCACAGATCTGAGGCTTAAAAACGCAGTCATAAAAGGTTGCAACCAGTATAAATATCTAGGAAGCATCATATCAGCAGATGGCAGAGTTAAGATATATGTACAAAACCGAATAACCCAAAGGGAAAAAATGCATCAGAATACTGAATTCATTACTGTGGTCTAATAAAATAAAGATGCATACCAAACTTCGTGTATACAGAGCAATTGTAGAACCGATTACCACATATGGTGCCGAATGTTGGACGATGACAAAGAATGAACGAGATAAAGTAGACGTTGTGGAAATGGATTATCTTAGAAGATCATGTCGAATATCGAGAATGGAAAGAATCAGGAATGAGGAAATACGAAACCGTACAGGAATTAGAGATACTCTTTCAGATAGAATACAAGGAAGGCAATTACAATGGTATGGTCACGTGATGAGAATGGAGGAGGAGCGGTGGCCAAAGAAAGCCTTAATGTATGTTCCGCCAGAAAGAAGGAAAAGGAGAAGACCACCAAATTCCTGTAGAAGAGAAATTACAAAAACAATGCAATCTAGAGGCTTAGAAGAGATTGGAGAGATAGGAAACGATGGAGGCTGAAATGCGAGAAGCGGCAATCGCCGGACCCCCGTTATGATGATGATGTTTGTTGGTATATTTGCTTTCTTTATTAGTATCATGTGTTTAGTCTTTTTTATATTCATTTTTAGTCCATATTTTTCACAGAAACTGGTTGTCTTGTTTGGTACTAATTGCAGGTGTTCAGTAAAGCTTGCCATAATTATCTGCATATATATTGTTGCTAATCTTCCGTTAATTAATATTCTTTCACTGAAATTTCCTTGTTTCTTTTTATATCTGGTTGGTGCCAGAATATCTTTTTGGCTTTTATCTAGTTCTGTCTTTATTAATAGCCATTTTGTATCTGTTTCAGTATTTTGCAGAATTTGTTCTTTAACATTCATTAATCGATTATTGATTTCATCTGTCAGGCGTTGTCTTATGAGTAGGTTCCTTAATTTACTTGTATCGATGTGTGCATCTTTTGGTTTTTGTTTTATTTTCATTTTGAGCCTAATTTTAGTCACTACTAGGTTGTGATCTGATCCTATGTCGACACTCTGATATGTTTTCGTTGACATAATTGCGATCCTACAGCTTTGTCTAACTAATACATAGTCTATTTGGTTTCTATTACTATTAATTAAATATTAAATACTATAAAATGATAATATAAACTAAAAGTGTAGACTGACAAAATTAAAAAAGGGACAAAAGAAGTTAGGGAAAAAAATTGTACCACACAATGAAATTCTCATTTTAATTTTAATTCTTTAATTAACCTGTGTGTGTATGTTTTACATACGTAAACTAATACGGTACTGTAGACATCTCCCCTCATTAAGGGAGGCGAAGCTTATAGCTTATTCAGCGCGTACACACACAGCTTAGTCTTTGTGCAGTAGACTCGCGATTATCCGAGCCCCTTGGTTAACCGGTGCAAAAGTCGTAGCTGGTGAGTCACAATTGCGAATGGTTATGCGCATGTTAGTTCTAGCCGGATTTTTTATCTACCAAGTTGGTCATCTCCTTATTTCTAGAAATTTTTGTCTCTGTCTCGCGTTTTATTTACAATTATTGTTTCTATGTTAATCAGTGTAAGTTGGACAAGGGTGAATCAATAAAGAAGGTTGCTTCAGATTTAGGTATTGGAGAAGCAACTATTGGAGTTTGGAAGTGTAAACGGAATGAAATCGAACAGTGGGTCAACCGAAGTGTGCGTGGATTGGCGCGGAAGATCATGAAACAAATTTCTGAGGCATTGTTTTTGTGGTTTTTACAAATGAGAGAATTGGGCAGCCCCATAAGTAACAGCATAACTCCATGCAAAAGCTATTGAATTCCACACAAGAAGTTTATGGATGGAGAAGAAAACTGTTGTACTAGTGAGGGATGGATTGACACACGGAAGAAGAAATATGGTATCTGACATTTGAATCTTTGCAGAGAAAACTTTTTGTTGACTCAATAGAAATTGAAACATTTTAATAAAAATTACAAGACATTATCCTTAAAGATGAACTGACTTCAGACCAAATATTTAACTGTGATGAGGCAGGCCTAAATGTTAAAATGCTTCCTTGGAAAACACTAGCTGTTAAAAATGAAGGAACTGCACCAGGTTACAAAAAAGAAAAGAGAGAGTCACAATCATGATCTGCAACAATGCTTGTGATTCATTAAAATTAATATCTCTTTTAATAGAAAAATCCAAAAATCTAATGACATTCAAAATCAGTCAAGTGAATTACTTACCCACAACCTATAAAACCCATGAATTGATTAGTGGTGACATAAGAGCTGTGTTTCTTTCACCCAATATGACGTCTTTCATCCAATTCCTAGACCAAGACGTTATAGAAGCAATGAATAGGAATGATCTGCAGAGGCTTCTTTAGGTACTACTAAATAGGCTGGATGAAGGGCACACTTTAATTAACGCGTTTAAGAAGATCACGGTTATTAAAGATGTTTTCTATTGGATTGCATCTGCATTGAACGACGTAAAAGTGTCTAATATTCAAAAATCATAAAATCATCAAAAATTTTTCAGAAAGAAAACGAAACACTGAAACTTTAAAAAAACTGATGACTGTAAAGTCGATACTATAGCTAAATCGGAAACAAAGACGCCATCGATTGGATGAATGGAGATGAAGAAATGAAACTGACAGTTGACGCAATTACCGATCTAGTTCTAAACATCGACCATGAAGAAGAAGAAGAAACATATAAGATAACTCAAAAGATTTCTCATTCCGATAGGTTTAAGGGCCTTGAATCACCTCGCGCATACAACGAGCAGCAAGAGGAATTAACGCCAGTAGATGTACTTCATTTTCAATATTGGCGTAACCTCGCTGCTTTAAAAAGAAGAATGAAGCAACGACTTTTTTAAACAGTGATATCAATCAGAAATATGTTTTTATCTTCATTAAAATAACCACTTTAATGCCAAACTTGGAAGAACGAATCTAGATGACCACATGAAGATGATTGTAGGGCCATATGGTCTAGGAGTTAGGAATGAGCGAGGAGACCGACTACTAGAATTCTGCAACCAAAGGAAATTTTCTGTAATGAATACGCATTTCAAACATCCGCGTAGACTCTATACCTGGAAATCACCTGGATATAGAACAAGAAATCAAATAGACTTTATTCTGATCAGTTCGAGATGG